GATTGGAGACACCGCTATTGGCCATGCAGGTTTGGAGGGTCCAGTTGTACCTTCGAAGGTACTTGGATCCCTAGGGATAGTGGCTAAGGTTGCACTGGCGTCTTCAGCACACCACTGGCGTGCTCTGGCATCGCGAGCAAGCCCCCTCCGGCACTGCGAGATGGCGAAAGCACTGACCCGTAGAGTCCACTGCACCCCACTGAGTCGACTGAGTGTTTTCTCGGCCTTTAATAAACAGTTTGAGTCTTCTCTGTAGCCTTCTTAAGCCATAGACTTTAGCATCAAGAAACCACCTACTTCAATTCGGAAGGCTTCAGCACGCGACCGTGCCAAGGCACGAACCGTACCAAGGCACGAACCGTGCAGGTTTGATTCATAGTCAAAGAGTACTGCAAAAAGGGCTTACCGTGCCACGGCCTACTGATTGCAAAACATTGCAAGTTAATTTACTGTCGCGTCCTGAACCCGCTCTGTCAAAGCACAAGCCCAACCTCAGGGCCAGGAATCGAACGCGAATCTGCACACGTTGACTCCAAACCCTCGATCGATCCGCTGAGATCGGTCGAAGCGCACTCCAAATGCCTTCGCAAAATCCAGGTGATCAGGCCTCGCGGTGAGCCGGTGATCAGGCAGAATCCAGCATTGATAGAAACGTCTCTCTGATGGTCTACGAACGAAAAGTGACAGAAACCATAATTAACACACTTGTGCAGAATCATCTTGAGGTTGGGGAATTCGGAATGTTGGCAACCAAAGTATAGATCCTAATGGGCTGGGACCCTTTGCATATATGATATATGTTTCTTTTGACGAGGGAGGCCTAGTGACCCACCTTCAAGGTGAGGTCAGCCGTGGCCAAGCCACCCTGGTCCCTGGTAACCGTTGGATGCGGCCCACGAAGTGCGATCTGGTTTTCCACAGGTTTTGGGAATTATATGCAGTAGATTACAGTAGGTGTCCTTTTTTCAGTGATTTTGGATGGCCCCCTATCCTCAGCCACAGCCAAGGATAGACGATTTCTGGTTTGATGTTTCACCAGATTGGAGAACCTAACCTAGAATCATGTGAGCACAGCCAGTCCATGAGCCCCAACTCAGGTCATAGCAGGGAGACCGAGCAGTCCACTCCATCGACCCCATCCATTCCCTACTGGGCTGGGTTTGGCTGACAGGGGCATGCACTCACATGCTGCCCAAGTGCCAAAATCCGTCATGGCTGCCATCTCCAGGGGCGGCCTCTACATGGGCACGAGAAGGGGTCCAAATTACCTGAAACAACGTGGCAAACACCCCTCCAAAAAGAGAATCCTCACAGGCAGGGCATGTGAACTCACGACCATAGTAGAAAGATGTATAAAGACTTGAAAAAAACCGTGCGGAAACCAATGGAGTTTGCAGTAGCAGCAGTAGCATTCTCTTATTGAAAACCTCTATCTGCGGTCCGCTGTCCTTCGAACTGCATGGGGTCAGAGTCCACTCCAAACTACTGAGGTAGGCAAAGGTCTTGGAAAACCAATGAATAGTTACACTCCCTTGAAACAATGATGGAAGTGGACAACCCCCTGTTTTGTTGAGGAACAATCGTATTCCAGGAGGCTGTTGTCCACTTCCATGAGGCCGTTGGAGGGAGTGTATCGATTTTGCGCTAGTTGGGTGACTGAGGTCTGGCACCCCATATGCCCTGCTTTGCGGTGCTCCTTCGGTCCGCCTTTCGTCGGGTCATCCGGCCGATCCCACGGGTTCGGGGGGTCCGAAACAATGGCGAGCGACCGTGGTTGGTCTTCCAGGAACACTTTGAGAAGCAAATGACAAGCATAGTTTTCACTCATGACCAATCCCCCAAAATGATCAAGAATCAAACCGTTCGGACGCATCAGGGAAAGAGCAAACGCCACTTCTTTCCTTCTACCATACCTCCAAAGGAAGGGTAGGAGCTGACACCTGATCACGAGGCATAGAAACACATAACACCTGAGCCTTGAATTTCAGTCTGGCCCGGCCTGGGTGTCAAGGCATGTGATCAATACGGTCCAGCCGAGGTGTCAAGAGGGCATCATCAGTTCAGCCATCACTGGGGACTCCCCAGGCTCAGAGATCTTCTTGGCCGTATCTCCTCATCACCCTGCGCTACCGAGTTGTCCAAAGTGATCGACGCCCTTGCTCGCTGCAAGGGCGCAAAGGCTGAAGGCCATGGCAAGGATTCAATCTATGGCCAGCACGTTGTGATGTTTGGAACCATGACATGATCATTGGGATGGTGCAATTCTTTGTTCGAGCAGCTCAGGCGTTGTACAAAGGCCTTTCAGAAGACTTCTATAGACAGGTCTCCAGCTTCTGCGGCTCTCGCTTACAAATTGGCAAATTACTGCCTTTGAGCCACAAGCAAGGAACGCACAAGCACAATGCTTTCTTGCGGGTGCATGGTCTCAAGATGTCTCAAGTTGCCTCGAAGGCGATGGCAGCTGGCAGAAGACTAAGACCTGTGCTAGTGCTATTGGAGAATCCCTGGTGGCACTTGCACTCCTACAATGTGTCGTCTGGGGGCACCAGAATTCATACGGAGCCTGCCACACAGCTTTCAAGCCAACTCCAAGACTTTCAACAAAAATCCCATGCACATGACCAGATTGTTGTTAGATTCGAACGAGATCTTCACTCCAAGGGCGGTTCGACATGCGGAGTCCGTCTGCCCTGAGCTACTCTCCTCACCCAAATGGCCCCCTCAAGTAAACAAAACGACACTATCAACTTGCTTCGTTTTCTAAATTGGATCTATTGGAATTGGTGCCACCATCAAATCTATAGACATCTAATATCCTAATTACATTCCTCTGATCTTCTGTCCAAGTCCCCGGACTTCTAGTGGAGTCACATCTTTGGCCGAAGCCACCATCGCGGGACGCGACCCGGGCCGCGCGACAACATGGGACGAACGGTCGGTGAGTCGCCAATCTAACAGAGTCCTCATTGCTCCTACTGCCTGGAAACATGGCAGGGTCTGGCACCTCTCGGCACGGTCTCGCACCTCTGGAACCAAATGACTTACAAGATGTGATTCAAGAAAACAAGAACTCTTCGACATGTCGTTAAAAACGGGCGAGACCCTCCATGTGTATACTGTATAGGGAATGTTCTGTTTGTTGATGTTTGTTCTACCCTTAGGCCAGTCCCATCAAATGCTTCGCTCAGAAAGGAAGCTCCATCCTCAGCGATTGTGAGGCAAGGAATCAACTGCCATCGTTTCAATCTGCAGCATGCCAGTGCTTGTGATTGTCAATTACTGTGTATCAATGAAACAGGAAAAAATTGAAAAAGGATTCAACAAAAAGGACATCCATACCGGGGATGAATCTTTCAATTGAGTCGAGTGGACCCCTGGCCTGGGTCAAGTGGTGGGTCATGGGACAAGTTGGTCACCGCCAAAGGAGTTGTCACTGCCAAATCCAAGAAGTGTTGTTTCAAGCTCTCCAAAAGGTTTCGCCATAAAACCTCTATTCATAAGCCCCCCAAAACAATCCTTTGGTCAACCCCCAGTTCGAAAAACATACTATATATAATATATATATATAAGTCCTTCCTGATCAAGTCTTCTCCTCACGGAGAAGTTTAATCATTTTGGGATTTCTCCTCAGGAGAGATTTCATCTTGGGAATCCCTCCGAGGGGAAAGATCGCGTTTCAGCGATTTCGCCAGATTTCGTCTCGATCAAACATGAGAAAACTCTGAGATTGATCACTGTACTCTCACACGCTCGCCAGACCTTCTTTTTCGGAAACATGTTGGAACCTCCACGGGGCAAAACGGTGAAACGGTCGATCCGGGGCCCTGGCTCGACTTCCCGAAGCGATTCGCCTCAAACGACGCGTCAGGTGGGCGGGACACCGGGTCGGTCATGGGTGGGTTTTTCCTCGTTGACGCCCTGTGATGGTCCATGCAATCCAAAGAAACAAAGGACTGGTCAATGCGTAAAAACATCCTTTGGACTCTGGATCTATCTTAAACAAAACTGACTATTCGTTCATGATTTCTTGGAGGTTTCGCGTTTTTTGCTGTCCGTGTGCTTGACGTGGTCCAAAAATACCCTGCCCGTAGCAACTGAGCAATACTGAACCCTTCAAAACCATGCCAATTTCCACCGCTGGGAGTCTATCGTTGTCATCGTCCACGTCGTGCTCTTCAAGTATTGGGGCTGGAAGTCCGTTGCATGTGGCAGGTAGCACTCAAAAAAACACATCAGTGCTGCATGAAGAGGGCTCTGCGGCTTCCTCAAGAAACCGACGACAAACTTCGACATGTGCCGACCACTTTGCAGCAAAAGCTAAGTGATTGGCGTGGTCGGGAGTCTTTGATTCCACCACCTCATAGACTCAAGTGGACCAGAAAAGGGCAAGGACAGCACTGCTGTTGTTCGGCAACGTAAAAAGATAATCTCTCATGTTGATGTTTCATGCTGTCTACTCAACGAATCCAGAAGTGTGAGTCCGTTGGTATCAACTCATGTTGTTTTGGGTTCCTGGCCAAGGCCTCTCATGTTGCGATGATGACCCTCGACATTTCCTACCAGCCAAGCCTATATAAATATGTCTTACCGTCTTACCAAAAGAAACAGCAAACAAACCAAGTGTTCCACATCAAAAATAATTACAAGTGCTGTTTGGTGAGTTCCTTCAACTCACACTTGGTTGCATTGGGTCGGATATGTTATGATACGTTCCATGGCCCGCTGGCCCCCGCGGCCGCGGCGCCTGGGGGCTGCCCGGTAGGACCTGTGGTCGTTTGCAGAAGCTTTGTTGATCTTAGTCTTAGTTGTAGATGTATCATCTGTAGTGTCATGTGTATTAAAACAGGGAGACCTCCTGGCTATGCCCATTGGGCCAGGGGGTCCCCAAGTAAAATACACACCCGCATCACAACAGTTTTGCATAGATCTTGCACAAATGATCAAAGCTGCATCTTCCATCTAGTCAAAGAGACTCTAGCCTCTAGTCTTTCCAGCTTACATTTTCCTCAGTTCCGCAGATGGACATCTCTGAAAGGCATGGCTGGTACAAACCACTGACCTGCGAGGGTGTCCCACAAGGTCAGTCTGTCCTTTTTGGGGCATGGCTAAACACCAATCATTTGCCCACCACCCCCCAGGTTCACTGCACAGGGTGGGGAGGGATCGGGCTTCGACTTCGCAAAGTTCTCTCCACCGGCTATCGGACGGAGGCTCCAATCTGTCACCCGAGGGCGTTTGAAGCACGACACCTGGTGGAGCAAGGTTCAGCCGAGCTGAACTAAGATTCTATCACTATCAACTGCTCTTAGCCAGGTTCGTCCAGCTTTACAGAAAGAGCCGGATGGAAAGACTTCAAGGCTTTAAATGATTTGAGCTTTGCCCAAAAAAGCCTCGTATCGACAAAATTGACTCCAGTCATTGACAATCAAGCTGCTCTGCCCGCATATATCACAACAAGAGGTCTAAGCAATTACGTTTAGAGCACTGGGTTGGTTAAACCCCGCCCCCTGTGAAACCATCTCTTCTAAGCAATTCATTTGTCAGTGGCCATGCAAAGCAATGCAAAGCAGCCCAAAGCCCTGCTCATCTGCAATCCATCTTCTGGTTCAGAAGCTTTAGTTCATCTCTGATCTCCTGAGCTGCAGCAGTAGCAGCTGTGAGTTCAACAACCTTCTGACCTGCTAGAGAGGCAATTTGAGACATTGCATGGCTTTGGGTAAGGAAGGAACCTCGAATGCAACCCAGTTGGGTCCATGTTCTTCCAGGTCCCAGCCGCAGTGCCGGATGACGCCGGGGGTCGCAGTGCCGTCACCCGACTCGCGGAAAAGTCACCCGGCGATCGCCTTCAACCTAATAGCGATGGCCTCGAGGCTGATAGCGATGGCCTCCAACCTAGTGCTTGAAACTTGACATGCTGGGAACCAACGATTCTTTTGTTGACTTCTTGTTAGTCGGGTGTTGAATCACCATGGCCACGCTTACTCCAGGTCGTGTTAATTATGAAGTCATTTGTCCTTCATATTACATTAAATTCTGTCATGTCATATGTGTCATGTGTATCATGATTAGCACATATCTATATATTTATCTATAATATATTATTGCGTATATACATTTAGGAAAACTTTTAGGTTAACCATTGCTGTTAAAATATGTTACAGTTGCATGAACAAAGGTTGCGTTCTACCACAACGAAACCTATGCCTGTTCACATAAGGAAAAATCATTGGCTTATCTATACATGTTGCAGGGCTAACAAGGTTCAATAAAGTTAATAAAGTCCATCGAGACACAAATACTGAAAGGCCATGCGTCTTCCAAACGACTTACTACAAGACCAAACGACTTAACCCCGGTACACACAGTCCAACCAGTCGTGGTCATCCTGCCCCTACCAAGCGTCTGTCAGCAAAACGTTGTGCATCTCCATCTGGCAAGGCGAACTCAGTGACTTTCCCATTTGTGTGGGCTGGGCACCGCTGGGTGCCAAACGCCGCTTCATGGCCCAAACCTCGCGAGCCCACTCGAACGAGAGTGGAGGAGACGCATTCCTTTAGAAGTGTTGTGTTTAAAATCGCTGAACAAACATGAACAAACACAAACGCCCCCCAAAGGAACCACAAAAACCATCCAAACAATCTGGCTCTCCTGTTAAGTCGCCTACAGCAAAAAACATGTGTCCACTGAAACAAAAGCTGCTGTGTGGAAGTTGTCGCCAAATACCCTGGTTCACCCTAGTGAGAGGTGTTGTCTGTCAAATATGTCACGGCCAGACTGAGGCACAACGCTGAATTGGTTTTACATGGTTTTACATATAGCATACATGTGAATACGTGAGTGTATCAAGAAATGCCAAATCATGAAAGAGATACCGGAATACCTCTGGAGAGAATGAAGAAAGACTCACAGCTTCAAAAAGCCAGGAAACACTTCGTCAGTAGCAGTCACTGATGGGTTGGATCCCAAGATCGGTTTTGGTCGGATCCACCGGGCCCAGTCTAGTGGTCCATCTGAGGGCCCACCACCTTCACAAAACCCAGCTTTTTGTGGCCGCCCTGCCCCCCCCCTCGCCCTGGGGTCTCACCCCTATTTTTTTCTGAATCCTCATAAGTATGCAGTGTAGAATACTGCATCTGTAGTGATCCTGCAGTATACAAATGGAATATTGGAAATCCGAAAACACTAGGACTCATCGGGACGAATGACTAATAATAGTCACAATTGGTCACACAAGTTATTTCTAGGTTGTTATACTCGCACATGTATTGAGTTGTCTTGGTTGTTCCACATTGTGGGCACCTTTGAGGGTGTTGGAATTGCCTTGGATTCTCCATGTGTATATTGTATTTATTTACAGTAGAATGGATAAACATGGCAAAACACTGATTCCTACAATATAGTTTCCAAACACCTTCCATTCTTACACACTCCCAAATAGGAGCAGCTGCTCCCCCTGCTCTCACACATTTCTCCGTTGGCACCATCGTCACACCAGGTCACAGAGTGCTTGAACGCATGTGGATCTGCCAGACCCTGCAAGCTCATCTCGTGCAGCACCTTAATATGTTGAGCTGAAGTCAAAGGCTGATGCGTTGCTATCCAGCTCATTGGGGCCCTTTATTTGCAGCCGGAAAAAATCATGTACCAAAAAGACGTTCACCTGTGGGCTCTTTTCGACTTTATGCGACTTTATGGAGCCATAACGAGAGGCGATGTCACCAAGGTCCTATAGCCATTGTATTTCAGAGGTAGGAACTGGCTGAAACATCCAAATGAAGACGTTGTGGAAAACATGGTGGAGATATCAAGTGTCATCGTCCTCCACATGATGAGTACAGCTACTGTGCATGAAAGCGCCATGTATGCATGGGGGCCATGTATGATTGGTTGGGGGATGAACACCCTTTCAACTGCAGCAATGTTTAATCGATGCCAAGGAGCAAAGTTGCCACCCACACCGCTTGAGGCAGTGTCGATATTGACGACGGACAGCACATTCCTTAAGTGTCTGAGTTCATTGAACTCCACTCCTTTTGCACCCATCATGTGATACCCCATACACAGCACTGTAACAACTTACGCTTGACCTTGACAGCATGTGCAGTTTTGAAGCGGATCTGTCTCAGAAATCTGCCGGCACCGGGCACCTTTTCATCCCAATTCCCTGCTCGACTCGATCAGTTCACCGACTGACTCGTCTCGAGTCGAGTCTCGAGTCGATGTCACCCTGTGGGATTCTTCGCACCACCGGATGGGTTGACCAAGTTCACTATCCAAACTCCTGGCTCAGTCTTCCCAAGTGGTATGTATATATATATATATAACCATGGGGGGAAGCAGTCGACTGGGGACTGGGGACTTGATCCCCAAATGGGCAACAGCGCCTGTTGCTGGTCGAGCGACCAAAAACGTCCACCACTTTACTGTCCGCGCTTCCTAATGCTACGCAAGGCAAATGCTACGTCATCTGTGGGGTGGGGTGGGGGATAATAGCGTTCGTTGCACCTAGGACCTAGTATGTGCTTTGCTCGAAGTCATGTACTCCGTGATGTGCCGTCGTTCCTTTGGGTGTCGCGGGCGACGCGGCAAAAAGCTTGGGGCCTGGTTTGGGAAAGGGAGCTGCTGCAGAAATATGACTTCTGATTTTGCGGACATCGCGTTTCCCTCCCGCGAAAACAACCTGACCAGCCTTTTAATTACCATGGCCAGCAAAGTAGGACCTGCAGGTTTCGGAGATGCTGCGACTGTTGTTCACTCGATCCACAGAAAGAACGCATGTCCTGTCCCGGCACTCCACGGGCGCCGCAACCGGGCGGGCGCCGCAACCAAGTCTTGAGGGAGGGCATATTACACTTTTCAACACGTGAGCGGTGATATTTTAAAGTTAAACTCAATTGCACTACTAGTATATTTAAAATATGAGGGGGGGCCTATCTCGTTTAGACTTCAGTACAGTAGAAGGTCATGTCACATACTGTATTTCGTTGAGACTACTTTAGTAGCAAATCACACGAAATCGCCGTCATCAAAAAAAAACATAAAAAGAACATCTCGTTTATTTGGGGACCCTACCTTGTTTTCCAGCGAATACTGATGTTGGACGAACGAATAGAGCATGCCGTAGACATCCGTAGACTAATCAAATAAAAGTGGTTGCTCACGTAGGTTTGACATGGTTTCAGTATGGTTTAGCTTCCAATATATGAGTACAGCGCGGTTTTATTCTTAAGCCAGAACTGGCTAAAAGTTGCTTTGATTGTTGATTTGACTCATTTGGCTGTTTCGGGTACAAACGCCTTTTTTTTGTCCATTTGATCCTATGGTGGTGGTCTCAAGTTCTCCAAACACACCTGTCCTCCAACCTTCCGCAAGCAAGTGGGCCTCACACACCTCGGATTTGTCCAGTTTTTTGACTGACCAAGTCGAGCGTCTGGATGCAACAGCAGCATGCAGTGCCAGCTGGCTCCTGTGGTGAAGGTGGCACCTCAACCCTACGAAGAACATGCCAAACATCAAAATTAACATGAATTCTACTTGAATTCAAACCGCCAAAAGCCCCAAAGTGCGTGTGGCCGCCAAAAGCCACAAAGCGCTTTTCGAACGCTTCAGGCGTTCGACAAAGTCTGGACTCCAGTCCTCTCCCCAACTTATCTCAACACTCTTATGAGGTTGCAACAAATTGGTCTTCTCTTCCAGGTGGCTCCAAATCATCTTTTTTGAGGGGGTCCCTTTTCACCCGGCAGTGCAAGGTGTGCAAGTCCGAGTTCATCCCTGGTCCAGGTCAAAGGTGCAGGATGGAAACCCCTGCTTGTTCTGTGCACGGCCCGTAGGATCCGAAAGCCGGATTGCATGAACACATCCATCTTCCAGACATATCCATGGGTGAAGTATGGTGAACCCTGCCAGAACAAGCTCGAACCATGTCTCCTGCACGTCGCAGTCGGTAATCTTGTCGTAGGGAACCGTCTTGCTTTCCCTGCCTCTGTCTGTACAAGGCAGTCCGCAGCAGCTTTTCCTCTTTTCTTTCACATACCTAGAGCATCGCCACATCTCTCGACCGGTGGCGAACTCGTCTTCTCCGAGAGAGCGACTCGAGTCTGTGAGAGTGATGGCGGCAAAGTGGTTTGTTGGACAGGACATGAGGACGTTGCCAAGATCCAAGGATCAATCCCATGTCGCTTCGTCAGAATCTGTCTAACATATCGCCACATTCTCACGTTCGCATCACCCAAAACGAATGAATCCTTCCCTTCAAGAACAGTACTGGGCCCTCTGGGCCCTCTGGGCTTCGTTTGGTCCAACTCCGAGGACCGACCGTGTCCACTCGACGTGCAGCCCAATCGACCGGATGCCATCAACGGTCAACGCCAGGTGTTGAGATCTCGCGTCCCACTCAATGTTCTTCCTCGGCGACATCGGAGCCATGTCAGCTGTCGCAAAAATATGGAGGTTTATATGAGTTACTCTTGCAATCTTGCAACCTTTCTTTTAAACAAATGGAGGTCAGGTTTACTCGGCCCTGGAAACTATGCAAACTATTTTATCATCGGGAGGTGGGCCAGCCATTGTCAAAGCCATGGCTTTGAGCAACACATCAGTTTCCTTTTGGGCGAGAAGGACTAGTATGACCCTTGGAGTTCTGCATGTCCGTTCAATAAATGAATTGTGGCTTTCAACCATCGTCCCAATATGTCCCAATGATATACATGGTGGTTGATCAAAGTGACTGAATACTACAAGTCTTCTCGAAAAATACTTTCGCGAATCTTTCGCGAACTCCATGTTGCACTTTCGCCTGGCGTTATTCCTAGCGCTATTCCTAGAAGTCTTCGGTTTCCACATGTCTGTCTAATTTATTTGGCAAATCTTTCGAGAAAAAACACACAAAACCATTGTACTTTTGCGAGCTCTCGAGGAACGACCCTTTGTCGACTGATCAACCACATGTTATACACACGCCAGCAACACCAGTTCGCATCGGCTTGCCCAAGGGATACAGGGATAATACTTGCATCGGTAGTATGAATAGCCTTATGAATCGTATGAGGGGGACCCCCCTCGAGCCGCACGTTTGGTGTCCGGACGTCAAGCTTCTGCAAGAAACATGGGTAGCAGCAACAGCAGGAGCACCACATCACCGGATTGAAATACACCTCTGCCATGCCCCTCAGCACGCGCGAGACGGTGCGCTCGATCTCAAGAGGCCATGTGTGAAGACGCGTTAAGTTCTTTAGGACAAACCACGCATCCAAGTTCATCTGGGGAAAATTAAGTTCAAAAAATGGAAGCATTGCGTTAAGTTCTTTAGGACAAACCACGCATCCAAGTTCATCTGGGGAAAATTAAGTTCAAAAAATGGAAGCATTGCAATACGGTCCATCATCTTTTTAGTCCACTTGTTTTCAGAACAAGCTCAAGCACAAGCGACCTCAAGTGGACGGTGCTCTACGGCCCAAGTCAGAGTGAACTTTGTGCAAAAAGTAGCGAACGACTTCATATATGGGTGTGTACATCGAACAGCCGTCAAAGGAAAATAGACCAACAGCCAATGATTGCTCGGGGTCTCCCCAGATCTGAATCTCAGAATTGAAGCAATCACATGCCCAGCAAGCAAAGCATATTTATGCCGGACACTCACCTCACCTGGCATCCGTTCCCAGCATCTATGCCCGTGGGACACTCACTGGGTGTTTCGCCGTTCAGCCCTCGCTGTAAACCCCAGACGTTCGTCCTCCGGGGGTTTGGCTTCGGCCGTGGGTGCGTTCAACCTGCGCAGTGCGCAGTGCGGTTTGTATCCTCTGGTGTCATCCGAAAAAGGGGAGAACAAACTTCTGGTGTCATCTGGCAATGAAACTCCAGATAGCGACCTGCGGGCCCCCCAAGCTTTTCGCCGAAGGTCACTCTGGTTTTGAAATCAATGATCAGGTCCTTGGTCTTTGGGCAAGGACCCGGATATGTCAGGACCAGATGGGTCTTCTAAGAGTCTTCAGTGTTCATGGGTCATTGGGCCACACTCAACCACCTCCTGTACCGCTGTATCGCCTGTCCGGACGTGGGAAGGGCATTCCACTGGCACCTACGGAAGCATTCCCTGGATCCTCCCACGATCACATCTGCGCCTCCAGGCGGACCATCCATTAAGAGTACGTATTTCTACTAGCGACGTAGTCCATCGTGGTTCCTGCGGCGTAGCGGCCTAACGGGGTGTGATCCAACAAAACTAGACCAAATGGAACACCAATGATTGAAAGGAACATAAAGAACAATTAGAACAAACAAAATCACTCACATAGGAACAGTTTGAAACAAAAACTAAAGCGGAAGTTGCCTCAACTCAGAAGTGGAGCCCGGGAATCAGGGGGGTGGTGCACTCCAAACTTGAGAGGGGGCTTATGCATCCTCGAAGAGAATAAACACAACTTGGACACAAATAAAAATAAAAGAAACGCAACAAATAGGAAAGCATCCACCAAAACAAGGATTAGACAACATGTTGAGCCTTGACTCATCACTGAACATACATCCTGGACTGTTCGCTTGCAGTTCTCCACCTAGTGGATTCTCATGTGTTCACGATGGTATCATCACCTCACCGTTGCACTGCCGTGTTTGTCAAAAGTGGATGAACACCGCAATTCATTCTGTTGCAGTGGTTTGGGAAAAACGACAACAAACATATCCTGAATAGTCCTGAAACAAACAAACCATATCAAAGCATATATATATATAGTTTATATATATATATATAACTATATATAATGAATAATACACACTGCTATAGATGGGATGGTATCAACCACCACACGACAATAACCGGACTGTGCAGATTCAGCTAGTTGCGGGGGGGAACCCCCAGCTCACCAAACCAGCTAGTTACGCCGATTCTTTCAGCTGCGGGGGGGATATCCACAAAAGACACAATTTTAATTTCGTCTCGATTGATCCATGGGGCAGTAGGAGTGGACTGAGCAAAAACTGATCGCACGGGTCTCGCAGCGAATTTAGTTGGTTGTAGCGGGGGTGCCATTTGTCATGTCACCCTAAAACCCAAAACGACCAGAAATCCCTAAACGGATAACAGTTAACATTAAACATACATAAACAAAGCACGAATCTTCATGTCCTAAACAAACCAAAACAACTTGTACACCATTGAACTATAGCTCGGGACCAAGGAGCATAGTTGAAGTCGAAGGGAGCAATTAGATTTGGCTCATTGGCAAAGTAGGTGTCATGCGCTTTTGGAGCAACGCATTCACTCTCCACTCCAATGACAGATGTGATAGATTGAGCCTCGCATATTGCAGGCAAATGGATGTGGAAAAAGGTTGGTGGCAATTGAGTCCAACAAATTTCACCGGTTTGATCGGTCATTGGACGAGGACTACAGGTTGAGTCCTTGTCCTTTACACGTACCCATGAGGTTCGACCCACTGCAAACTATGTCCTGACAAGCGAACCAGTCTTGAACATCGTCAAAAGGAACCTTCGTTTTAGCAGGGAGAAATACAGTCCAGCTGATGGTTTAATACTTAGTTGTGGCAGTGACTCCCTTCGCCATACATACACTCCCTGGAACAAACAAAGTGGAGAATGGCCCCTTCGAAGACCATTTTCCAATACAAACAGGTGGTTTTCCACTTCCGTGTTAGTTCCAGGGAGAGTAATTAAAGTTCTTGCAGCCCTGCCTGCATGGCCATAGTCGCGGCACACGAGAGAAACCCTAAAGACCAATTGTGCAAACCGGACCGTGCTGGACTTGAGCCAAAAACTAGCCCCCACAGCAAGAAAAAGAACGGATCACCAGTCAATATTTTTTTTCAGGGTCCATGCAGGGTCAAAGGGGGGTGTCCTCAGGGAAACATGTTAGTTGTGGTTGGGCAGGACAAATCCGAGAAAGAAAGTCCACTTTCGCTACTGTGCCCAGCTAGGGGCATTTTCTGGGAAGGTGGTTAAAAAGTCATTCCAATGGCTGTGCAGCATGGGAATCGTTTGTAGTCAAAAATCATGATATCCATGTTACATAAACATGCACGGTGTGAAAGGAACAGGGATAAACGCTGTGCTTGGTTGAAACGCCACTTTTGCAGGTCACGCCATGACTGCAGGCTATGCCGCAGAACTTGAACATCTTGAACAAAACTCTTCTCGTTGAACCAAACACACCCCTTGCACTCTCAGTTTCATCTACGTCAAGCAGCGATAGCTGGCGGGCAGCGGGGTCATGTTCGGAGCCATAAGGGTCAGTCTTGTTGCTTGGCAATGAACGAAGCGAAAGTATGAAAAGTGGGAAAGTATGACAAAGCATTTAAAGTATTATTAAAGGGCGAAAAACAGATTCAATAGTTTCCAATCAGAGTCATTGTCTTTACTCTTCTACAATAATAATGCTTTACTGTACATACTAGTAGTTTATTTGTAGCTAAGATTGGCTAAGTAAGATAACATTGTGATATGCTTTCTGCTTTCTTAGGACCTCCGAATCTCCGTAGCTTACCTCTCTTCGATCATGCCAAGAATGAAACGTTTCGATGCCTTTCTCCGCTCCCCTATCACTTTGTGATGGGCAGAGTGGGCAATGCCCAGGAAGGACAACCATTCGTTCGCCGTTCGCTGTGAACCCGCTGAAGTTTGTCCCAACACAAACACGAGAACCGTCATGGACAGTTTATCCAGGGATGTTCAGCGTCTTATAATTATATATATATATATAGTACATGATTCTATTATAGAAGAAATTGCCCGGAACCCTGCCACGGGAGGAATATGCAGACTTCGATTTGAAAATATGTTGTAATATCTTCTATAATAAATTTGCGTACTATATGTATATATATACCTTCTCTATAGATCCGACTGGATCCTTATGATATGAGAACCAGGGTTCTGGGTCGACGGGTTGCAGTCCTGCTTTGAGCAAAGAAAGCGAGCCGACCCAGTTTGTTAGACTTGGGAGTTGGTCCAAGCGGTGCACAGCCAATCATCGATCCATCTTCTGGTTCATTAGCTTCAGTTCATCTCTGATTTCCTGAGCTTGACGGTGGAATTCTTCAGTAAACAACCATGGCGCCACAGTGGCCCTTTCTATTGCAGTGGTGTTTTGTTTTTGTCCGCTCGTCCCGTGCACTCGTCCGGCAGCTAAGCCCACATCTGTGGGTTCCAACATCCGAAGCCCCGTCGACCGTCGACTGAGGAAGGATTGTTAAGGAACATGAATGGAGCATGTGTTCACATCACACGACAAAGATAAAGATAAACAACCCAAACGCTGACGGATCCTCATATTATGGAGGGGTCGGACCCTCATATAGAGGGGTGTGGGGTTTCGAACCAATCCCTAGGTTTTGAGGGACCGGTCGGGCTGTTTGGAGTGTCGGACTGTGGGTCCGTTGGGTGGTGGACTGTCGGACTCACGGTGGTCCGAAACAGTTTTGCCACCCGACTGACGGGGGGCACCGACGGGGGGGCACCGCATGGGGTTCAGGCCCATCCATTTCTCCGATCTGGGCTCCCTGGGAGTCCCGTCGACTGTTTTAGACATGGCCTATTGATTAGATCCGAAAAAGAATATCCTTTACTTCAGGGAGGTTGCAATAGGATGATAAGATATATGGGAGATCCCCCTGTTTGTGCCCCAAGGCTTGGGATTGTCAATGTCTGGGAGAAAAAGAACCCCAACAATCGTAGGGTCTCCATACTTCACGCCACGTGTTCCTTGACTCTTGATGATATTTGAACCCCCTACAAAAGGTTTCACAATCCATGCCGGGGGGAAATCACTACCAGGCGTCTGTCAGCAATGCCGTGTGCAGGTCGTTCTTAGGCGCCATGCGCTGCATCTCCAGCTGAACTGGCGAGCTCACAGGCATTGAGGTCTGCACAGCGCCTGTGGTGCCCGCCAGGCGGCGTTTCATGGCCCAAACCTCAATCAAGGCCATTGAATTGAGTCAAACATTACCAAGCAATCCCGCGTTCTTGAAGCAAAAACCCTATGTCACAAAGGATTGTGTCTTTCTTTAGTGTTGTTTGTGATATTTTCTCAAAAAAAAGGCCTTGTAGATGGATTGATCGCCAATCCTTCTCCCTTCAGGAAAACAAAAAAACTTACAGCAAAACGACCAAACTGCCCTTTGAACAAAGGACGGGGGTAGTTGAGTAGATTGAAAGCCATCGACCTGGGCATCTCCAACTCTAGCAGGTACAGGAGATTCAATGGGATTACCATGGTGAGTCTAGACTCTAGACCTTCTCAAACAATCTCAAACATACACACCATGCAACACCACCGTGCGAGATTCAAAAACCATAATCAAACACAACTCAACGTAAAATAACGGCACATCGTCTTCAACTGAGCCACAGAATGCTTGAACGCATGTGCATCTACAAGGCCATGAAGCACCAACTCATGCCTCACCTGAGTGAAGCTCCGAGCTGAAGCTCAGTTGGCAGCAATTGGCCCAAAATAGTTCCCTTCCATGGTTTTCGGCTAATGATGATCATTGCAATAGTCAATAGTGTTCAGAAAACACCACCTGCCCGCAGACTCGGGGTTCTAAAAGTTTTACAGCAAATGACCTTGACAAATGGCTAATGTCAAGTTTAGCTTCTCATGAAGTTGCAATGGATGGGTTGGTGAACATGAGCAACAGCTTAGAGTCTCTCTTCGTTATATCCTAGGAAGCGGCCTGAAGCCGGTGGTTCAGGCAAACCCTGAACCGGTGCCTCTCGAATTGAACAGGTTGGGACATGTTGAGGCCTTCCTACCGGCCCCTACAGACTCACGGAGGTGAGAATTGGGAATATGATGGAATATGATGGAATCTTGGGCCATGGAGATATGACAGATCTGGTCGGAACGACGGAAAGGTCCACCCACAATGAATGAATTATGACATAGCATGAATTGATTTGAGTTGCCCTAAGACTCCTTGGGCCCTCCGTGGCAGCGATCAGACCCTCCATAGCAGGGGTCCGGGCCCGCACCAAATCCTATGTGCTCGATCCGGATTCTGAGGGTGAGTGGAAGTAACTTGAATAGAATGCTGATTTTTTGAGCATCCGAAATTCCCTACATCTAGCGGTCATTTGGGCACGGCATCGGTCATTGGACGGAGCATGATCCAAATCGCTCACCGAAGGGCGCCGCCGTCCGTCGGCCCGCTTGATGCCGTGTCCACGTTGACCGTGGACAGCACTCTCCTCGGAGAAGAAGCAAACGACGTCTGCACGTCTTCGTGGGCTCAGAAAGGGCAAACCTGGTCTGAAAGCCGGATAGGAACTCATTTGGCACCCAAACGTTGAGATCCTATTGATCGTCTCCCATCATAATCACCAGATTTTAAGGGCACCTTGCTTCACATGAATCGAACACATCATCTGTCAGATCTTGTATGGCCCCTGGAAGGTCCGCCCAGTTCTCTTCCTTCCTACGGGCCTTGCCCGGGCCTTGCCCAGATTTTCAGCATGTCTTTCGCAGTCTTTGGTTCCTCCAGAAAGACATGCACTGAATCCGACAGCAAGGTTTTGAAAACTTCCGTACACCATACTGAGCCAAGGGGCTCGATGCAACAGCAGCAAGCAGTTCCTGCTGGCTCCTGGTGGCTCCAACCATCAGTTCCAGTGTCATCTCAGCGCATGTCAGCTGATGTGTCATCCAACTTTACACAAAACACCTCGTACACATCATCTGGCCGTGCTACGAGGCCCCTTTCTTTCGCGCCAAGGTTGCAACGTGTGCGTTTCCTCCGAGCAGCCACAACGTCTCTCCCCTGGTCACCGGTGGTTTGCAACAGCTCAACAACAAAGCGGCGACGGTGATTTTCGCTGAAGAAAGCTGACCTCCCCGGTGGCCCAGAACATCTACCTCCCCGGTCATCACCTGCACGTCACAATCGGTAATCTTGTCGTAGGGGACCGTCTTGCTTTCTCTGCCCTGGTCGGTGCAAGACAGTCCACAGCAGGTCTTCCTCCTTTCCTTCACAAACCTTGGTGCGATGGAGCCACTGCGGTGGAATCGGAGATCCATTCCGAAGCGGAATTGACACACATCCAGCCAAAAGTCCCGTTGGACATGCTTTGATATGTGAACATCATGTCATGAGAGTCAGTTTGGAGTCTGGCAACAGGCATGGGGTCCTTGTAAAAGACCATAGACAGTCTTGAATGTTGCAGAATGATCGCAACTGTACCAACACCACATATATGCATCTGCATCTGCAGCTGGTTTGCACATCGTGTTGTGCTTTGCACGGAAAACTTGTTCGCTTGGGACTTGGGGTTATATAATGCATTATAATGCTGCCAAGTGGGCCGGATGCCATCAATGGTCAAGGCCACGTGTTGAGATCGCGTGTCCCATTCCACGTTTTGCCTCAGAAAACAAAAGATCAAGTGCCCTCTTCAAGCCTGATCAAGGCGTGCTGAGCCTTTCAACAAGCGCACAAACATGCACAGACTTTCATGCGGCATATTTTTTCACTCAAAACTTAAAAGCAACTTCTGCAGCATGTCACTAATGCTCATCTTCTTTATGGGAGCAGGGACGGTTGGCATCCACGAGCCTGGTTAGCATGTTGATCAGCTTGCTCAGATATATCATGTATCTGCAAGAGCTTTGACCTTTAAACAACTAGGCTGCCATGGTCCCTAGAAGTGTGCTTTTCTTTTGTATAGCCATAAATGTTCCCATCGCAAATGCCAATCTCGCTGACCATTCCAGTCGCCCTCCTTCAGCACAGCTTCTTCAAGTAACATGGATAGCAGCAACATACAGAGAACCACATGCACGGCAGGAACGCCACCTGCGCCATTCTCCTGGCCATGCGCATTCGACTTCAGGCATTCGACGTGCGCCCGTTCTCCATGTTACGTCAATGTGTTTGTTGCATCTCTTAAAGGGGTCAAAGCCAGGCACAGCCCATTCTCTGGGTAGGCTTACTCCGCGTTTCACCGATCGAGGAAGTCCGGACTGCTGGCCAGGCATGGAATGGACGTTTAACTAGTGTAGATTGCATGCAACTCTCAAGACATCTCGAATCCACGGCGGCTCAGGGGAATGTTCGGTACGAATCAGCTACGCAGCTGGTTTGTGATCCAAGCACTCCACTTTCCAGGTATTTGGCCCCCCACCGACAAAAAGGCTCCGATCAAGTGGCCAGTTTAGTTTGGCGACTTCGCTGTCATTAACAAAAGCTTTCAAAACACAAACCTAAATCACGCAAATCTACACCCAAATCAAAATACATCAAAATACACACTTTAATTTAAGAGCTAAAGAGCTTTGGGATGGTTTAGGCAGGTTGAACATATCTGGGTAGATCGGTAGATCTCGTTCTACCTCCGAACTCGTCCATATCCGACTTGGCCCATTGGCACACACCATCCCCGAAGCGGCCATTCAAATCGTACCAAGGGTCAGCTGTGTGGTAAACTCGATAATCCGGTCCTTGGCCCACCGAAACACCGAGTGGAGAGGCTGCCAAAAAGGGATGGTGCCTCTTTGAGTGCCAGGTGAGTCAACCGAAATAAGGACCCTCGGAGAATGTCGGAGAAAATCCGAGTGTTTTACAACCAGGGTGTCTGTCTGCTGGCGTAAAAAAACCGTCCATGTGTCTTCGGGTACCGCCGTCAAAAAGAAAAAAAAAGTAGTTCGTGGCGTGGGACGATAGTGGGAAACAAAAACAGGTCAAGAAACATGTGACCAAAGCGGAAAGGCAGTGCATGGCATGAAAGCACGTAACAAAATGAGAGGGTTAAACACAGAAAGGACATGATCTTCTTCCACATAGATGGTGTCTTTACGCTAACACACACACACACACTTTGTAGGCACGGCGCGTAGTCGAAGTCAAAGGGGGCGATGAGATTGGGCTCATTCTGGAAGTAGGTGTCACGCGCCGCCGGAGCCACGTAATCACCCTCCACTGTTGCCATCGGCGTGGACACAAGCCTGCCGTGTCAGGGACACAACACGCCATGAAATCACCGAGCCTCTCTAAGCAAGTGGTGAAGAAACTCCCATCAACTCCCTGTAGCTCCCCCTGCCTCCCTTTTTGGCCGAATGGATGCTCCAAAGCACCAGCTAGTTACAGCTATTGGCTATAGTAGCCGTTAATGTTCTCGTCTCTGCAACCAAATGCGAGAGAACTTCCTCACCTTTTGAAATTGCTACGTGTGACAGCTGAAGATCCAGAAGGGATCCATGCAGTGCCAGGGGACATGAAATCCCGCCAAGAACTTGTTATATGAATGAAGGGAATCCCATCATAAACCACCCCTTAGCTGCACAAAAAACATGCAAACCGTTGATTTGACCAACAACACACACACACACAAAAGAAGCCCACCATGATGAGATATCGCTGCGCGTCCCTGTCGCGTCTCGGTACCTGTCGCGAGGTTACTCGACTCGACGGATGCTCGAGAACAGCCTTCCGAAAGAGGATCCATAGCGTTCAATGGGACCACCACCCCAATTCACCTCCCCAAAAACAATCCACCGCGAGCAAGAAGCTACTAGGAACAAACGGCTATTAGGAGCAGGGGCATCGCTACTAGGGGCTCCTGGCATCACTACTAGGAGCAAGAAGCTACCAGGAGCAAAGGACATCGCTACTAGGAGCAAGGACGCTACTAGGGGCTCCTTAATTGGGACCACCACCCCAATTCACCACCCCAAAAACCATCCACCCCTGTTTCTTTGGCCGCTTACCTTATTTGCGCCCACCGATCGTCTGGGCGACCGGGTCTTCGTGAAGCGGATCCGACCAGCGATCCGGCCACGCCTGCACGGACTGCCAAGTGGAGGCGAGTGGTGAAAGCGCACAGAAACAGATATAGCGTGCTAAAATGTGCTAAACACGTGCTCTTTGCTTGAGCCAAATATTTCAGCAACATGTTCCTTGCTTCCCTTTCAAATAACGAGAAACAACAAACACGATGATGGCTTTGAGCCTCTGTAGCCGCTCAAGAAAGCAACGCAGTGTCATTCCAGCAGGGCATATCTGATACAATCGCAGCGCGAGCATATCAACATACATATACTACCCGCCACTGACATAGGATACCCGTGTCATTGGATGTCATTGGTACCAACAAGTCCTAAGTCATTGGTACATAATATAGTACTGTACTGTACCACATGTCCAATTACGTTCCCAATACGTTGGTCTCCATGTGTTGCTTCTGCAAGACCACAACGTGCCAGTAGCAATTGAATGTGCCAGCTAGAAAACAGGAAAGTCGCCAACATGAGCCAATCAACCCGCTTCAAGCTTGCCACCAGTAGCGCGTTTTTGTCCCCCACTTGCCTGAGCCAAGTACTCCAAATGGCTGATGAGGAAGCAACTGCTGCAACTGAGCTTTCAAACACAGGCCACAAACGGCCGCAAAGTTCGAACGGCAAAGATATATACACAACCACTCTGCCTGCAACACACTGGAAGAGACTCTGAGAGCTCTGAGTCAGTAGACGGTCTTGTGGGTAGACCCAATCTCTCGGAAGCTGGAAAGCAGTGTGGTTTGCAGTGCAGAAATGTGGCCTTCTGTCATTTCTTATCCATCTTCTGATTCAAAAGCTTCAGTTCATCTCTGATCTCCTGAGCTTTTTGGCTGCTGAAACCCAGTCCAGATTAGGAACTCTCTAGTGGTCATACTGATTCATACTGAGTATACATACTGTAGATCCCCTCAGTTTGGTGAATCCATCAGTGCGAACGTGGAGAACGGACCAGTGACCAGTGCATGCGGTGGATGCGCATGTGGATAACCCATTTGCCAATGTGAGCTCAGTGAGCTCTCCCTCTCTCTCTCTCTAGATTTCAACAGTTTCCACAAGCGAAAGGATCCACAACAGTCTCTCTCGTATTTTATGACAGGATCCATAAGCCAGTCACCCCCCCTGTTTAATCCCCAGTGATCATGCGTGGTAAGTGGGAGTAGAGACCTCTGGCAGTTTTCTTGGCCAAGCTTGGGCCGCTTCATCGACCTGGCACAACACCTGGCAGGCACACCCAAGCAGGCCGACCCAAGCGTCCGTGAGTAGAGCCGTGTGCATCTCCATCTGACTGGGGGAGCTCAGTGGCCGTCCAGTCTGCATGGGCACATTGGCGCCACTGGGGGCCACACGACGTTTCATGGCCCACACCTGTCGGGCCATGAAGAAGGGAGACAAGTGCCATTATAGGGGGCCGATCTGGCAGGTGAACAATGTTGGTGAGAAGCGCTTGAAGTCGGAGTTCAAGTCCAAAACGGCAGCAATCTGTTATATTACAATATATTATATATAACTATTGTTTAGCTCTTCATTCTGTAAAACATGGTAAAACTCATGCTCCGAATCACCCTGAAACGCATTGGGTGGATGTGGGCTAAATGATGCTAAATGATCGAAAGTTGATCAACTCGAATAGAAACCAGGAAACAACATGCCCTGCAAAGCGATCGGGTCGGAAACCTCTCAATGGAATGTGACGAAGAACTCTCCTGGCGACTCTAGACCTAGAGCTCCCTCGGCCCTCGACCCACCATCCAAAATTCCATGGACTCGGACCGCCAACCAAAGCACATGGTGGAGTTGATGTTGATGTGTCCGTCATTTGTTGGACTTCTTCAACTGATTCTTTCTCAGAACAAACATCTAGGTACAAAAAGAACATGACTCTATGGTTTAAATTTAAATAGGATTGAATTGGTTGGTCACCAGTCCGGTCCAGGTCGCCCGAAGAAACGAGAGCTTTCACTGCTCATCCCTCCTCCCACTCTCCATTCAAATCCTCAAAGCACATTAATAGACTGAAATCCTGCAAATCCGGATCATATGTTAATCAGTTAATGCTTTCTTTTATATAATTCTATAATTGCTGTAGGAACCTTCATGAACATTCCCCATAGATGACATTTTTCAAAAATGGCGTTTCCCAAACTCGATACGCAACCCCACACGAGTCCCATGTCCCATTCGTTCCCGGCCATGTCTCGACCGGCGACCGGCCCCAACCCGGTCGACCGGCCCCAAACCCTCAGAGTCAACTGAGCGGTCGAGCCACGGAATGCTTGAAGGCATGTGCATCTACAAGACCATGAAGCTCCAACTCATGCTTCACCTCAGGCCACGGATAGGGCGGACGTGACGGCGTCTTTCTGGGCGTCCCAATGGTGGCTGAACTATGGGTTGCATGGCTTGCTGGTTGGGTTTATATAGTCAGTCTGAGTCAGTCTATGTTTCTTCGCTCGAAGACTCCCAGTTGCAAAACACACCCATCTCCACACTTCCACATTTGCACCGAGCCGCGCCACCCTCACCACCCACCCCGCTGGAGGCAGTGTCAATATGGACCATCGACAGCACATTCCTGAGTGACACGCATGCCATAGCCATCCCAAAGGAGTTGGATTCATCGCAAAGTAGCAGTGTTTGTCATCACTTTTCACAGATCTGATGACATCAGTTCCATTCCAAAGCGGTTGGATTCCTTCATCGGTTCTTTTTGGACACACTTCTGAGGTCTCTGAGACCGCTTCGTTGCTTGAGGTTTCAGGTCAGTCACACCCTGTTTCAGCCGAGGGGGTTGGGGGTTGGGGGTCGTCAACGTGCTCAAGGTGGTTATTGCACATGTTCGCATGGAACTATAACTGGATAAACATGTAAAACAAAAATACGAGTAACAGCAACCCTGGAGGGCAAACGGGGATCACTTGGTTCCCAAAATTCTTCCACAGCATAGTAAAACCGCTTGAAAGCTGAGAGTCTCGATGCAACAGCAGCACGCAGTTCCAGCTGGCTCCTCACGCATATGACTGCAGCTGTAGCTGGCCGCACAGGTTGCAGGTAGCGGCGAGCTGTCTCCAGGAACCGACACTAGACTCTTTGATCGGTTGAAAGCAGTTTAAGGGACCTATAGACGGTTCTTTGCACGCTGCAATGGATGGCAATGGCACCGTTAACAAAAGGGTGCATTGAACATGCTTCATCCTTATAGTTACAATTAATATCAATCAACAAGGTGTATGCCCATGCCAAAAAGTCTGATCTCCTGCACGTCGCAGTCGGTAATCTTGTCGTAGGGAACCGTCTTGCTTTCCCTGCCCTTGTCAGTACAAGGCAGTCCACAACAGGTCTTCCTTCTTTCCTTCACATACCTTGGTGCGATGGAGCCAGTGACCCAGTGACCCGGTGACCCGCCGATCTGCTGTGACCCAGTGACCCGATCGTTTTGCAGTTCGTGTTCATCACAGGAAAACATCGGACATCATCGGACTGTATGATGCTATATGATCACAGCTATGGAACGCTCGTTCGAGATCGTAACAGGGCGATTAATGTTGAGTATACTGGGAAAAAACACAGTTAACGAGTTCACATATACATCTGCATCAACTGACCAACCCGCACTGGATATCAATGGCTGCTTTCAACATGTGGATGCCAAGATTCTACCGGTCCAAAGTGGAGTCTCGGGCGACACGCCCGCTTTGACTGAAACAAAAAAAAAGGATTTTCCTCTAGCGAGCGGAAGAAATCGGAGAAGTTCTTTGTCTCATTGTTTTGTGTCATTGTCTTGTGATTGCAGATGTTGAAAGGGCAGCTGAAGCCACACAGAAGTATTGAGGACCCTTCCCTATCCATCTCCAGAACCCATGGCCTAACCACCTCAGGACCAATGCACTAACTGGGTCTGCAGCCCAGTAGGCCGGATGCCATCAATGGTCAAGGCCACGTGCTGAGATCGTGTGTCCCATTCCACATTCTTCCTCATGCAAAACGTTCCAAAGGATTGGAAAACACGTCCAAGCAGCAACAAATCTTGAATCTAAATCAACATCCGTCCACACTACTCACACAAAATGTTGAAATAGATTCGATAAATTGTGGGGCTGCTAATCAAACAAATAATCCAAGCACTAGAAACCTATATTCTAGCAGTGGTAGAGGATCATCATGTTCCACACTCTCCTTCTTACCATGTTTGTTCAAAAAATAAGGCAAACATCATTGATTGACATCACGACTTCCAACGCTATACCAACCTATAACATCCTACCATGTAACATATGATCACTCATATGATCATACATGCAAACAAAGCAGCTAAAGTAGCAGCTAAATAGACATGGCGTTTCTTTGTGCTCAGTGTTGTTGCTCATTTTTTGTATACTTTGACTAATGCTTGGATCTTCAGTTCTTCCAGGCGTTCTTTTCAATCTGGTCGGAACAAACTTTGGATAAATCCCCACTTTCAAACCACCACAACAAAACAAAGCAACTAAGTGATGTTTGGCCAATTTACGCTGGGCAACTTTCACGAAGAGCATGCGGTACGTACATGTTTCACTTTAGTGCCTGCAAACGGTTTTTGTAGCAGCAAATGCTTTGGGTGGGGCAGAAAATGCTCAGCGGCATTTGGAGAAACCTACTGGGTTCAACTCTGTTTGCACCGTAATTTACAGGGGAAAAAAAAACAAAGCTCCAACCACTAACCTGCTTGTTCCAAAAGCTTGCCTGATAGACCGAGGTCACCAACAGGTGGCGGCATATACAGGGTCACTGGTCGGGACTCCTTTGTAGAGGAAGCCGGCACATCGTAAGCTGTTTGCAGAGGCACTGACCACATCGAGTCGATTCTGCGATCACCATGGCGATTACCATGCTGGTTCCGCAAAACAGTGAGCAATTGTTTGGGAAAAAACACGGTGACACTTGTCCTAGTGAATACCAAAGTGGAGAACAGTTGTGGTGACAGTCTCCCGTGCAATCACAGGAACACCTGCCAAAAGCTAACCACATTCCAACAACACCTGCCAAACACCTGCAGTTCTTTGTGTTTCGCTTCCAAAAACGTCCACTGGTCCTGCAGAACCCCGGCAGCATGCAGCCGGGCCCCTCCACCTAGGTCCGACTCGCCAGGACCAACGACTTCTCCGAGCGTCTGCAAGAAGCATGGATAGCAGCAACAGCAAGAAATCCACAGGGGCGGCAAGAGGGCCATCTGCGCCATTCTCCTGGTACACGGAGAATGGACATCCACGGAGTCCGGGAAGCAAAGATATGAAGGACTAGCGAGTCAGGGAGCTCGTGTAGTGACTACACCCATCCCGAATCCGCAGGAACGGCCTAAGCCATCTGGCCATCGAGTCATAGAGGGTGTCCAGTCATGAGCCCGAGGTTCAAGGGTCTCGACTCTATATGTCTCTATGAACCACCAGCATGTGGGTGATAAATGGTTGAGGATCATAGGTGGTTGAGGTGGGTGTTAACCACCAGGTTGTCGTCATCCCTTGTGCCATAGGTGGCATGTGTTGTTTAAACCATGTGGGACTCCATTCCAGTGAGCCAAATCCGACTCCCCAGGCGTGCCACACTCAGCCGTGACTAACAATCCACATCCGTGAGACCCGAGACTCGCTTTTTCCTGGCAAGTAACCCATGTGCTCGCCAGGGTACAAGCCCAAACACGACCAGTGGGACTGCCATAGGGCTGCCGCCCCAAACAGACCCCCCTGGTCCACCACCCCTCACCTGATCGGTCAATATGACAGTCCCATGGCCCAGGTCGTGTCTGGGTGTCTGGGTACCAAGGTGACCCAAACATCTGCCGCATTGGATGTGATAGGGTGGCTGGGACACGAAAACACCCGGGACACGAAGCACGACACGCTTCTGATGGTTCTTATTTCGTTCATGATTGGCAATATAGCAACTACTTTGGAGCATGGGGTGTGTTACACGGCAAATTAAAAAAGACGAGTCTCAGCTTTGCGGTGAAGTCGACAATTAAGTCCTTGGCTGCGAAGGCACTGGGAAAACATAATTCAAGAAGGAGTCCCTCTTCACACACCCATATCCGCACAGGAGCATCTGCTTACAGCCGCTTAGCCTGCACAGGTTTCCTCGTTGTTCCCTTGGTCTGGTCATCTGTCCAACTCTATGGTCAGCCAGTTCACAGCAGTCTCAGCCTTTGTGGTAACAGCATCACAAAACACCAAACACCAAACAGTTTTGCAGGCGCCCAGCCGCGTAGTCGAAGTCAAAGGGGGCGATGAGATTGGGCTCATTCTCGAAGTAGGTGTCACGCGCTGCCGGAGCCACGTAATCACCCTCCACTCCAATCATTGGGGTGGACTCGGCCTGGCGTCAGTTGGGTTACAACAGGATCGTCAGTGGCTGAGCCAGGTATACGAGGTGTATATGATATCCCTGAAACAATCCATGGAAGTGGAAAAAAACTTGGACAATGACCCCTGGAAATCTGGAAAGACCATGTTCCTCTACAAACAGGTGGTGTTCCACTTCCATGATTAATTCAGGGAGTGTATAGTATACATATAGATTGATTTCTTGTACCAGTAATGACCGCTTTCCCTCAACAGTGTCCAAACCTGTTCTTAAACAGTCAATCCTGACTGGATCTGATATAGTTGGATCCAACTACACCTCTTCAGGGAGTTTGTTGGACCGAAATCCTTCCAAGGTGTCCAAGCCAAAACGGAACCCTCGCCCCCCAAAAAAAACACAGAGAGTGACTCAGTGACTCCGGACTCTCCTCACATGCGACGGAGAGCGCTCGGTTCAAACCATGCGACGGTCAAACGGAGGCCCACCCACTCGAAGACGGGGAACGAGTCGAACGAGTCGTCCGTCCATCGATGCCGTCGGTGGGAACGTTGGAACGTTTAAATTGATGGACCGACATTCTTCATTCTTCCATGTCTTTCCTATATATATATATACCACTAGGTAATTCGTTCGAACGGGTCACCAATAGACTACCCCTACATGACCTGATATAAATATATATTAGGATCTTGATTGAATTGAATGATCCTGGTAGGTCTTTGTCAAATCTTTGGAAGATTTGGAAGTCCCTTGAATCGTCATGTATGTTTTCAGCCCAATTTACGGTGACTCTGCCTGCAAATTTGAGACAGCCGGCATCCAAGCTGCACTTTCGCAGTCGATGTCAATGTCAATCAGCACAAATTTCGTATTCCATCCAGACTTGAGCCCAACGGCCACACAATTGCGGAAGAACCCAGAAACCACCTCGAATCGAAATGCTCCCGCTTGTGCAATACCGGAAGCTCCGGACAACACGGCCTGCAGGTCGGGGTGACCGGAAGAACTGCACCTGCCGTCGCCCGGTCGGGCCCGGACGATGAACGGCGGTGAGTTCGGGCAGTCCTATGACTCATGACTTGAAAGAACACGGGGAAATGGGGATGAGTCCGGGATGAGTATTGCGAGATTCTTTTTGCACGATTGTAAGCACCATCTCAGAAAAGCGTTTGAAGAGTTTTGTGATGTCTTGTGTATCCACGGGGCATATTCTGTGTCTGGTTTCAAGCCCAATGGATGTTGCATACTATGATCGTTCCTGAGTCGATGGATCGACCATCATATTCAAATACCATGTACGCACCATCCTCTTTCCCTCTTCCACTTCAGACCTTTCCAAAAACCACCACAGTCTTCGGGCGCCTCAGCAGGCCCGACCCACCCACTCCCGTTCCACCGGACCGTCCGCGGTGGTCCGCGGTGGGCGCACCATGCCGTCAAAGCCGCAGCTCACCATGGAGCCCGTGCGCGGCTGCACGTCCACCGACACGCAGGCATCCTAGCTGCACGAGGCGCACGATGCTTCTACATTACCCCAAGGTACTAGGACAAACCCAACACATTCGTAAACCTGGGTTTTTTCCGAGGCATTTCTGTCCTGTCAAACATTCAGGAAGAAAGAGTTTTCTGGCCGATTGGATCTTTGGCACGGCCCTGGCGGGATCGTGCCAGTAAAACACCTTTTGATATTTCTTGGAGTGAAACGAGATGATGGGCATTCTGATGCGTGGATTCATGCACCAAAGAAAGCGGATGAAAGAAGTCCGGTTTAGAGTCGGCTTGAGAGGTTTTCTCTGATTAGATATGAATTGGCGACATGCTGCCAGAAACCATTCACCCTTTTTCTTTGGGTCTTCCCATCATGTTTTCCCCACATCAATTCTCTGGTGTTGGGAAAAGGTGTGCACACAAAGCTTTGGAAGCTCGCCCCTTCAACCAAAGTGTATTCGGAATTAGGGAGGGGACCAAGTAGGGCTTAGGCGAGCATTGAGAATCAGGTCTTTCTGTCCAAGAACCCGTTTTGGAATCCTGTTGCGAAAGAATTATTGAGGATCCTTGCAACATCTTCCAAGGTTTGAGCTTGTCTTAGTCAATCCTTTGGCAAATTGTACTTGGCAATGCATGTTTACACAGAAGCTCAGTGTAGGTCTGGGATGCCAGTGGCTCCTAATTCCTCGTGCTCATGACTCATGACTCATGCCTCTCTTTCTGGAACGAGTCAATCATGGACGATCATGGAACATACTGCACGCCTGCGCAAGCAGGGTACGTTATGGCTGCGATTCTCAGCCTTCTGGTTCCTTAGGGCCCACATGCATCCCAAACACCTTAGCTTTTGATGAGTTAGCCAGTGCTTTCACAACCAAAACCAGCAAGTGATGTTTATGTTCAACATTGTTGGAACCCAAAAACACCACACACACACACCTAACCAGCATTCTTCATGGACCAAGGAACCTGCACTTGGGAACCATGGAACATCGAACCTAGGCGAGGTTCCATGGGTATTTATTTGTGCGTTAATGTGCTTGGTTAACATGCTTTTTTTCCATCCACTTCCACGCGCTCACGAGTCTCTCACCGTCCCACGAGTCTCTCACCCGGTGGCAATGCTTGGAGCCCAAGACGTGCCCCGTGCGGACATCGTAGACCTGGACGATCTGTTTGCTGGGCGGAAGTGTTGAGAAAAAAGGCCATACTAACCACCAGGACCTTCAAAGTGACCTTTTGAGACGTCACTTAGTCTTAGTCCCGAACTAAAGAGGTCACTTAGAGACTCCAAAGAGGTCACTTTGAAGGTCCTGGCAGTTCCTCTTCCAATATGCTGGTCTGAGTCTGACTGGTGCTCGGAAACATGGAGGACGCAACCAATCCAGCGATGGAATGGTGACGTCCGAGATCGTTCGAGCATCCCGCAGCTGGGCCCAAAGCTTTGATCTCAATTGAAGCTTCATGGGGGTGTGGGCCTTTTGTTTGAACGCACACGATCGCACACCCAATGCGGCCCCGCCGTGTACACAAGGCATCCAACGTGGAAGTCATATGAAGTCATTGTACCAAGGGATCAAGCTGCCACTATCGTGACTATGGTGGCTATGAGGTACTTCCAACGCTTTTAACTATCTAGAACCTCCGGATCCTTCCAGCAGTGTTTCTTACAATCCACAGGGCTGCCGTTCCTCGCCGGTGCCGTCTTTGGAGCCGGGCGCACACCGAACCATCCTCTGAGGGAGCGCCCAAGTAGCGCAAGCATGGGCTTAACCTGCGGTCTGCGCTGGGAAGAGTGGCGTGAAACAGAAAGCGAAAAGGATGCTGTCGAAGAGGATTTTTCGAATCTGACTCAGGATCTCCTCAAAGCCTCTCACTGGAACGTCCTGATTGACTTGAAACTGCCATTGCAAATTGATCCAAACCTGATAACCGGACCCAGGCCAGGTCTTCAAACCCGTGCCTGGCACCATCCGTTCCCATGGATCTCAAAACCATCCCTGTCAAACAACTCTGATGTGCGGAGTGCCTGCAGCGTGTACGCTGTGCGGAATGGATATGGCCTGAGGATGAGCTTGGGCAAAGCGTCAGATTGGTCAATACAGAACTACGTACTGCAGAAGTCCAAAGGTAAAAGCAGTCTGAACCTCTAAAGCGATGCAATGGAGAACGCAACATCAGGCAACATTGCTCAAAATACTCAGAGGCTTCCATCGAGGAAAGTAAAGCAGACTGCCCTAGTCGGCATGCTTGGAGACTCAGCCAATCTTGAACATGTTCTGCTTTTGATGAAAAGCCACCAGAAACGTGATTCTTTTCCACTGGCCAAGTTTTTTGTCAAAGGATTCTGCAAGTAGATCCAGGGTATCTGATCAATCGGGGTTTCAGTTCAGTATATTTCAGCATTGGGATGGTTTGTCAACCTCGCAGCCAACGATAAATCCACATGCAAGCATCATGCATCTGGCTAAGGTTGGGACCACCACGGAAAGATCGACACTCCTTTTCGGCACAGCTACCACGAAAAGTCTTGGAGCAACAGTGCCGTAGGATTCCGGAATTTCCAAATCATTCACTCAAAAAATGACTCATCCCGGCATCTCCAAAAGGCGTTGTCCGCCTCACTAGTTACCGCACCATTTTCTCATTAGGTACGTCATGGTTCATGGCATCCACACCATTGTGTGAATCTACCTCTTGGTTCGCATCCTCCTCAATTGTTTTTTTTTAATTTGCCACAAACACCTCCTGTCCCCTAGGGTTTCAACATGTTTCAACCACCTGTGAACTGTGAACGTGTCGACAGGGTGGGTTTGGAGGGTCAGCAACTTCGATCCCTTTTCGTGGCCGAATATGTTCCACCAAGAACCGTCAGTGGCATGGCTGGAGGTCCCAGCAGGACCTACTTTCTTCCTCAAGCAGCTTTTTGTCTGACTTCATGCCTTTTGGCCACCGGACGTGCTGGTTCTTTGTGGGAGGAATGCAGACTCGGTGTGCAATGACTCTTTCTTTCAGCTTCGAGCCGTATCTTTACATGGCACTTGATGGGGGACACCTTCCCAGTGGAGGACCATGCCAGCATAGCATCCCAGAACACATCTGCCTCTGATTTGATCAAAAAAACACAGCAAACAAAAGCCAAATTAGTTTGAGAGAGGCCTTCGCACAATTGCTCTTCATGCCACACAAAAATGTGTGTTCTTCTTGTTGTCAATGTGTTCTTTATGCTACATGTCAATTGTATCTCCTCCTTCTCCCACGCTGGCCCCGCCCAAAAACGCATCAAGGCATGGCATCATGTCCTGCATGGAGCGGAGATCCCACAGCTTGATGATCCCATCCAAAGCCGCTGTGTAAAACACGTCCATGGACGCTGAGGCCCAGCTGGCAGGCCTCAGAGATGGAGACGTCACGAGTCCTCCCAAGTTGGGTGGACACTGAAAAAGTCTGAGACATCACGAGATGGTGGAAACCATGGCCATGGATTATTGGAGGTTATTGGGCTGAATCTGGGAATTACATGATTGAGCCCATGAACTGGGAGAGGTATCAGTCCTCTTTCTCCAACGTTCGCCCTGCCGAACCGCCGTCCGCCGCAACCGCCCATCCGTCGCCGTGTCTTCTGCCCACGTCTCGGTGTCCCGGGCTGTGCGAGGCGTAAGCAAGTCAAAGGCCTTGAGTGGGTGTTCACCGCCGCCAGCACCTGGCGACACGTCAGCACAGCACATGGAGCAACGGCCCATGGAAGCGTGTGGTTCCATCGGAGAAAAACACACTCTGACAAGAGGGCTACCCTCCCTGAAACGATCATGGAAGTGGAATACAGTACTAGTAATACAGTGTATACTATAGTGTACACAAGCTGTTAGAGGAAAACAGTCTTCCTGTTGGGACTATGCTTCCCTTCCATGTTTGTTGGACGGAAGGTAAATGGCAAAGATCAGGGTTTCAAAACGTGCGATTCTTGAACACTGAAAGGCCTGATTACACGCGGATACTCGATCTTTAGTGCCTGAAAAAAAACAGTGTGTCCCCTAGGGCATGCAGCAACAGCTGCAAACTTGACGATCATCGGACCAAAAAACAAGGGCCCACATGGTCTCATCATCAGCCGCTAGTGACAAAACATCAGTGAGTTGTTTTCTCTTCTGTGACCTTCTTGTCAAATCAACAAAGTTGTATGCCTTTGCGATCTATTCCATGCATGGCAATTGGAAAAAATACTGGAACACCACCTCATCAAATACTTGACAACCCAGTGCTGATGGGTTCTTTGCCAGTCCAAAAGGCACGAGCTCCAAGATGCCCACCGTGAAACGTCGTCCATCTGGCAGAAGACTCCAGTGACATTTCCCACATCATATCTCAAATCATGTCTTCAATCAACCACCCAAACCAAACACATCTCAAATATTCTATGCCCTGGCCCTACCTACATTATCCATCATTATCCTACACTATACAGATCTGAGTATGGCGGCCATGCCTTTGTTTCTCGTTCTCTCCGTCCAGGTGGAGAGGTCGCTTCATCCTTTTAGAGAGACAACTCGGCCCCGATCGTACCATCGATCGTACCGCCGTTGACGACGGCACCTTCTCAGCCGCCACGTCCCACACATAGACACGCTTGCTGGACGAAGCCACCTCGAAGGCCCACAAAGGACACGGTAACGCGCCACCCGTGAGCATGGCCAGTCTCCAAAAGGGGCTGCACCCGCTGCGCCGAAGAAGTAGAGATCCCCGGAACATGCTTGTAAGCAAGGGGAATCTCAGTATCTTGCTTATCAAATGTCCTGATCAACTCAGGGTTTGGATTGGGCTTGGATGAACATCAAATTCGACACGTCCAGAACCTAGGGGCCGACGCAGTGACGGAGATATTGAATCAATCAGTTCTGAAATCATGGTCATTGATGGGAGGGTGGGGGCCGACCCAACTGTAGATTTGATATGACTTGAGATCAACCGTGAAACATTATGGATTTCAATGATGTTCAATAGATTTCATGGACTTGTGAGCAAATCAACAAACATCTTGATTCTTGAAAGATATCCAAGGATGAACATCCTCTTATCATGGACTTGTGAGCGCCTGCCCTGGACAAAGCTCTTTGCTTACAGCAGGTATACATTGGGTCCAGCTGCATTCACACAACTCTGTCAGGCTCTATGATGCTATCTCCGTAAGCGTAATCTAGTACAGTCACCAACCTCACTCTCCCTGGTCCAGACACCTTGGCATCCGTACCAACACGGTGCCTGAGAGTACGGCCTTAGAAGTAAGAAAAAAAAACAAGCTCGCAAAGAAGGAGAAAACGAAACCCTGTGCTAAACATGCCAGACAAAGAGTCCCAGCCTACAAGTAGTCCTACAAGTATGTCACATCTCTGAATCATTGCTGTCGCATTCATTTGCTGTCACGTCTCTTCATTTCTTTTGTCCCTTTCTCCTAGAGCCAACTCCAATCACCGAGTGCGGGTGTCCTCTCACCGAGTCCGATTGCGGGAGACATGTCTTGCTTCAAGTACCAAGAGCTTGTCCGTTGAGTGGCAACAAACGATGGATCCGATTGGCTTGTTTGAAACCCTTGTGTCAGAGAATCGTATTCACAGCTTTATATATCATATTATACGTGACAATTGCACAAACACACACCAAACATATAGAGTGCCTGTCTATGGATTCCCGGTACAAACATCAAATCGGAGCAACATGTCTAGTTGAGCAGTATGAGACACTCAAATGAGGCAAGCTCACTCATAGACTCATGTTTCCACTGGTTGGCAAACAGCAAACATCATCTTTTAGGTGGACAAGTGAGTCATAGATGTCATAGTGAGTATTTCCAGCCCGCTTTATCGATTCCATCACTGATCCGCTTCAGAGTCGGTGAACTTCCCGGCCTTCCGGGAGGAGAGAGATGAGGCCAGGTCCGTGTGTCTTCTCATGAACTGGCCGGGCCACCGCGTTCCTTCACGGTCCGAATGATCCATTCTCCAAAAAGCTGGATTCATGGAGACAGGGCCACGTACATTAACTGAATGAACGTGCTGAAGGGGAGCCGCCTCTTGCGCAGTGTCACCGTGACGCTCCCTCATGTTGATGGCATCATGTCGATGGACAACTTGAGGTGCGCGGAAACATGCTTCACATCCCCGCAACGTCCTGCAACTGAAATCGCATGAAAATGCATTTATGCGCTGAGAAGCGTATAGAGATGTGTGTATGCGTTCATCTCATCACCGGGTTCGGGTTCAGGCGGCCCATAGCGACTTTCAAATAAAAGCCTGGCCGATTCTCGGGGTGCTCCATGCTCCAGTAAAGCTTGAGCGATCTTCACCAGCCTCATCCGAGCAGCTTCATCCAGCATGCAATCCGAGAGCCGGAAAACGACCATCTTCAGTGGAGTCGTGGGCTGGTACCTGCAACGACAGTGGAGATCTGTTCATTTAGTCAAAAGAATACAACATAAATCTATCAACGTGTGCTTTGAACCCAAATAGCGACCCCTGCACCCATCGATGACTCAAATCCATAAAGCAAAGTATATCACATCTGCTCTTCCCAGCGACGGATCCTCTTCCGGCACCGGCCGACCGTCGGAGCTGTACACCGGCCGCCAAATGAGGCCGGTGGAATCCGCCCGGACCTTCCGCTGGCGAACTTGGTCGACCTCAATGCCTTCCTCCAAGAGCGTCATGACCAACTCCTCGGATCAGTGTGTTTGCCCAGCCACAGCCGGTCGAGAAGGTCGAGCAGTGACATGCGGAACATGTGTGTGTGTGGCAAGTGACAAAAAACGAGATGATGATAAAACATAAAGCTGATATAGATTAATCATCAATAATGACTAGTAATTTCTAGCTATGAAAACCATGAAAACATAAACATCATTCATCAATATTCATCAAACGAATCAAACATCAAAATACAACAGCCCTGCAGCTGGTGGCAACCAGAATCCCAGCCCAACCCTGCTCCTCATTGATCTCTTCTACAGCTTGCAAGAGACTGGCAGGTTCTCCATGTCGTGCGAGCTGCTCGAAAGGCTTAAAGCGCTGCGTGCGCCGTGCGGCGATGCACGCATCACAGCGGGCATGGCTTTCCTTCCGAGCTTGGCTGCTGGAGAATTCGCTCGGCTCTCCGCAGGAGTAGCAATGGACCGGAGAGCCTTCCACCTCCGGAGTCGAACAGCGACCCAATTGGTCAAGGACCTTCAGTTCACCACAATACTCGCAAAGACCCAGTAGGGCTCCATCCGTTTCATCCACATCCACGGTCCCTTCGCTCATGGCGAGATCGAAGAATCGGATGTCACCAGAACGAGTCAAGAGTTCTCGAAAATGATGACATGGATTGACATGGTCAATATGGTCAATGTGCTGACAGGGTTGGAAAATATCCAATGGTGCGCATCAATTTGAGTGGTTAATCATAGATTCATAGTAGTTTTATGTAGTTTTGACGTGTTTCACCAAATGTCTGATCCTTGATTTGCAACACATCAATCCAATGCACATTCCAAAAACATGCATAGATCGAACCGGATCAACACTTGGCACAATAAAACCAAGTGCCCAACCAATGTCCAAATGCAGTGCATGGCAGTTCGCTTGGACCCGGACATTGTTTGCGGCGATGGCCACAAGACTCTGCCCCGCCGTTGGCTCTTTGGGCAGGGTCAAAAGTCCGCAGCATTTGTAGGAACCTAACCTGCACCGGTAAGAGCCAAAACCGACACGCACACACCTGCGTCCTGAACATCAAAAGGACAAACATGCATTTTGGTGCTGCCCTCCCCCCCCCCCCTTGAAGGCACACAACAAAGTTGTTACCTTGGATGCAATGGACTGCAAGGCAAGGATTTTTAATGGCATCCTTGAGTGCGCATCTTCAGAAGAGTTCACTCACACTAAATTCTACAAATTTTCTGGAGCTGCAAACTGCAGCAACTGCGCGATGATGTTCAGAGTGGATGCCCATGGACGCCTTTGGAGCCGCTTGATATCATCGGAGGTATCCTGCAGGATGGAAGGTGCAGTCGAGCTGGCGCATGTGACGCACGTGAAAACCATCCTCACAGGCACTCACCACATCCAACTGTAAACGCATGATGTACAGTACAATAAGCTCATTTCAACCCGGTGTACCCAAGGCAGGTCCGAACATGTCCGAATCACAAACTCTTGTTTTGATGCTTTAAGTCTCAAACTCTGCTGGGAACATTGATATCATTGATGAAACGTTGAATTTGGTGCCTTCTAGGGACACAATGGACCACATCTGGTTGTTCCATGTTGTTCTGCAGCGTTGCTGACCGCATGCTGAGCGGGTGCGCCTGCAGGTGCAATTGAAACCGGTACACTGCCAAACGTGAGGCAGTTGCCAGTGCCACCGCTCCATCCAGGCAAAGGAATTGCGCGTCCTGCCACCAACACGCAACCGCCTAGACTGCTGACTGCATCTGGCTGCCGGTCTACGGGTCTCACATTGCAGGGTCTATGGCCCCCAGCAAGTCCCAAAAACCTGAAGAAACCAACAGAATCATGCAGAATCGCCTTTCATCCCTTTTGCACCAGATTTTCCAGTCACGCTCAACTGGAATATGAGACCGCCTGAACTTGCTCGAAGAGCGGGTTCTCCTCGAGAGATGAGACAGCCTGGCCGAAGTCCCCGCACTGGTGCACTGGGGTTCTCTCCTTTGACCCTGTGAATGGCTGGACCATGCCAAATGCAGTCCTTTGGGACTAGGTTCACGAAAGCATCGAACTGGACTTCGGCTTTGTGGGAGCACGAGCATGCTGGTGATTCTCCATGTTTCTCCCACTTCCATACATTCCTTCCGACTGGCATCAAGCTACTCTATGTGGTTTACTGTTCTGCGGTCTTCCATATTATAGAGTGATGGTGATAGGTGGTGGTGTGCCTCTAGAACTTCTTCACTGTACCAAAATTGGTGTTTGGCGGTTGCCAGCGCTCTCATCCAGGGGTTGCTCTAATGATGAAGAATTCTTTCTTAGGGCCTAAGATATCCTAAGATTCATTGCATACCACCGTGCCACTGGCTGCCCAATAATATATTATATGATATATATTGCAGTGTTACTATTTACTAACACAAATAAGTCAAGTAACTGAAGCTACGATTCATGATTGCGATGAGTCCTCTAAAATCCTCTAAATGTCCGTCAAACATCATCAAACCATCATACAATCCGCGTCACATCCTGGGTGTATGTTCTCCACATTATGCGAGGCCATGGACGAGTGCGAAACAAAGCAAGCACCCCCGTTTCAGTTTCAGGAAGTCCAATGGTGGAATTCTGGCTAGACTGGATCCTCATGCCCTCCGAGAAAGGTGGGGCGATCGAGTTCATCGCCAAGAGTCATGACTGACACTTGCAATTCTGTCTTCTTTCCGGGGGTCAATATTGCATAGAATTGATTCAAGTGGCTCTACCACCCGGCCGTGTTTTTTTCTGGAAACGTGCGCAACAATGTTCGGCACAATGTCCGGAACAACACCTGCCACAACCCCAAAGCAGATTCGGTCATGGTCAAGCTTGGACGATCTTTGACCGTCATCTTAGAGGTGAAGCCGTTGAGACCAACTGCTGGCCAGTCCCAGCAAAAAGGATCTAAGAGCTCAGCGCCTGTCCATTTTTTTGGTCTGTTATTGTGCCACGCATGAAGTCAATTCTCACATCATTGGAATTCTTGGGGCCTGACCTGAATCAATTTCTCAAGCTCATCCACCCTTCTCCTCAAAGATTGGTTCTCCTTGAGCAAAGGCAAAATGTGTGATTTTGCATCTTCCACCATGTGAATCTCCAGCTTATCCATGGCCACGATCTGTCCACACATCTCGCACATCACCGGACGAGAGTTGCACTCCTCCTGCGTGGGCCCAAAGTTCAGTGGGCTCCTTTGACCCAGTGTATCACTCGCTTCCCCGTAGTTCAAGCGCGGCACACCAGAAGGAACACATGACAAGTTGTGAATGGGGAGGCGCGTCTCCGGGAAAAGGCCAAACTCACTCTAGGAAAACATGTGTTCTCCACAAAAATGATTAGTCCTGCAGCCCTGCAGGACTTTTTGAGACATGATCAATTTGTAGCAGTTGTGACATCTCCGACAGTTGTGGGTGAACACTGAACACCCTTAAAAACAGTCGTCAGGCATCGTCAGGCCATAGTTCCTGCCCAACATTGCCCAACTTCATTTAGGCCGAAAAAGATGCCTGCTTTGGCCAAAAGAGAACCAAATCTTTTGATCCCTCACCACCAAAAAGCCTATGCGGCAAAACGCTATGGCCTTTTCCAAGTTTTTCCAGGTCAGGTGCTGATATAGCGGCCCATTGAAAGAGTGGAAACCGTCACCAGCTGGACCCGCCCCACACGAAGCTTCGACGTCGATCCACCAGACACCAGACGCTTCGACGGCGTGCCACCCACCCGTCCTTCTGGTGAATTGACACCGTCTCAGCTAGGATCCTCAGGCCACATTGGCTGCAGCGTACCTTGCGTTTGAGGCAAAGTTCAGAGACGTGCCTCTGCTTGTCGCCCAAACGCACGTCTTCGCCACACTGTAAGGGGCATCGGAGCATGAGATTCAGGATCTTCCGTTGATCACGCGGGGCCCTCACAACGCTGCTGGAATCCTCACGGCAAACAGGGCAGGTGGGATCCTTCAACACCCAGCGGTTCCAGCAGATTTGACAGAAGAGGTTTCCACAGTCGTGGGCCATTGCATCCCGTGCCACGCACAAGCAAATCGAGCACAGCAAGCCATTGGCTTCGGCCGCATCCAGCCACTGCTCGTCATGGCCAGCATCAGCATCCAGCTTTTCAGGCGATCCGCTTTCAGCTGCAGCACATTCGGGCTCCGCCTCCACCTGGATGATGGAGGGTGAAGATCGACGGGCATCTTGAAGATCTTGAGATCTAGCAACCATCAAGTCGTACTTGCCTTCAGCACCCACTCGGTATCTGTGACACTTGGCATTGTGGTCCCATCTCACTTTCACCCAGCCAAGCCCATAAGAACTCGCACCCATGGAGGTTCCTAGCCCTCCGCCATCCTGGTCGCGCTTGTTCCAATCTGGTCCTCTCTTCACTCGGATGCCGCACTCTTGTGATCCTGGGTTGTGTGAGGGACCTGGAACACATCAAACAATAGGGAAAACATAAACAAAACATATTATATATCAATGAAATTATATATATTATATATTACATTTATAGTTTTATACATACAGAAGTATATATATAACTATATATATGTTTAAGCATATATTATATATAATCACACATCACCAAGCAAGGCTCCATAGATTTTAGCCATCCTTCGATAGTCTCGTCATGTCTCATCTGTGGCGTTGCGATTAATTACGGCGTTTGAGCCCATGATAAATCAGGATACGTCCTCTGATTCTGGACCCTCTCTTGAACATCATTTTGGTGAGAACTTTGCACAAAATCCTGTTAGACCATCCCCCAAACGTCGGAAGACTTGCCCTGGAATGGCTCGTGGCTCGCTGCGCGGGCGGCGGCTTCGCCGTGTGCTGCGGCTACGCGGCCGCGCCATGCTTTGAGACGGTTTCACGACGGCTGGGGCCGAGGCCACGGTTGCTTGAGAGTGGACAGCGCACAAATACAACATGTAGCAAATCCAGTACGAGCGATACGCATTACACCCCGAACCTAGAGGAATCAACTGTCGCGCTAGTCCTACCAAGCTAGTCACCCAACTTGAAAGTTGTATTAGTGACTTAGTGACTCTGGACCGATCCATCTGTTCAAAAGTAAAGGGTCCGGAGAATCCGACGGTGAGTTCCCTCCGAAACGATGCCCTCTTGGTATCTCTTGGTTGAAGCTCCCAAGTCTAAGTGGTGCTTTGCGGGCTCGCCAACAAGGAACTCTGATGTAGGATAGTGTTTTTCTGTTACCTAGAGAACCGGCCCAGCGCCTGGCTCCCTTTCAGCCGCTCAAAGCGGATGAGCTCTGCACCTGCATGGGGCCTTGGACACGGATACATGGGATACATCAAAGTTCTAGAGTTCTAGCATCTGGGGATCGCAGAAACGGATTTCATATGATGGAAAAGGGACATTCATGCTTTCGTTCCGTTCATGGGAGGATTCAGTTGGTGCATCTTCATGGAGATTTGACATGATTTGAAGTGAATCTCTCTTCTGATTTTTCTGTTATTGGAACATGCAGTGGTCTCCCCACCTTCTCGGGTCTCCTTTCTCCGTGCTCAACCGCTCCACCGAGACTGAGTGGCCCCACCCCGCAAGTGCCCAGAGGCGCGCCGTGCGATCATCGCCTGAATC